CAGATTTGTTTCACCCCTGGGGAAGCAAATCTCCAGAGACGTACAGGTACACACACACACACACACACACACACACACACTCCCTTCCTTCCCAGCAGGAAGCAACTGGAGGGGGTACCTTGGTGTCTCCCGGAGAGATGTGCTTGTAGGGGCCGCTGTCTTCGTCGTCCGGATGGGTGCTGTGGGTCCGGACACAGTTGATGTGTCCCGGGATGATGAGGGAGAAGATTTGCTTCCCGGTCCAGAGCGGGCGAGGCTTCAGGATGGCCGGCTGGGGCACTTTGCCATCCCAGGTGGAGAGGAACATCAGCAGGTTCATCACTTCCCCCTGGAAGGGGGGGGAGGGAGAAGAAGGAAAGAGGAGACAGCGGTCACAATCCGCATCCTCCTGTCTTCTACGCTGACTCTACGGCAGAGACGGGCAAACGGATGCAGAGCCTTCTTGTCTGAAAGGACTGTTGTAAACCGGAGATAGATGATGTCGTATCCCTTCCCCTCACTTGAGAGAGGGATGTTCAATTGGGACCCAGGTGGCCTCTTGGACCCCTCATTCCAACCAGCGGTTCCTCTCCGTCCCAAATGTGGACTTTGCCGTCGTCAAAAGACGGCGCTGTGTCTTTTAAACGCAGGTGGGCAGCTGACTCTCGTCCTGTTGGGCTTGTTCTCCTATGTCGTGCCGAAGCGGCTGTTTCGTTTCCCCATCATCTTATCGCCTATCTCCAGTTTACAACACAGTCCTTTCAACAGTTCCAAGGAGGCTCCCCACCCATTTGCACCACTCAGGGGACCCCTGAGTGACACAGACGAACCTCCGAGTGGCCTCAAGGGCTCTTCTCTAAAAGAATTGCAAATGACCAGCGGTCTGCAAGGGACATAAATCCTCCCATCCTTCGCCATTCAGTGAGAGCCAGGGAAGCTTCTCGCAGGAGAAGCGAAACGTCTTTAAAGAAAACCCCCAGAAAGTCCAGTTCAAAAAAAGCACCTTTGAGACAACCATGACCCAGATGACTGAAAATAGCAATAGCAACAGCAGATAGACTTATATACCGCTTCATAGGGCTTTCAGCCCTCTCTAAACGGTTTACAGAGTCAGCATATCGCCCCCAACAACAATCCGGGTCCTCATTTT